CAGAGATGTGTATAAGAGACAGATATATATATATATATATATACTCTTATCGAATAAGCTAAATCCTGAAATAATGGTTATTACAAATATTGTTTCCTTATAGATAACAGTATCTATAAAATAATATGTCTGATCGTGCTAATAATAATTGTTATGCGTTAATACGGAAGCACTTGAGGTAAACCGTATAACACGTTATTAGATATTTACAAAAAAGTAAGTAAGACTAGGAAAACCGTTTAATGATGTCTGCTTCCGTGTTGACGCTTCTCCTTCGAGTAAATCCAGTTAGTATAATGACAAGATGATCGTTATCCTCGTATCAAGGAACATGTTCCTTGCAATCAAGCCTGATGCTCGTAAACTAAAGTTAGTAGAACACCCGGCGCACGCGGAATCCGACGCGCGGATATGTCCGGACGATTTCTTCTTAGGAAGATTAGCCTCTACCGCAATTTTAACTACAGTCATAAAATTGCGCGAGGCATAGTCTCAACATTTTATCGATTGTTTTAAATACCATTGATGTCAGTTGCTTCTTGAAATTAAACTAAAATTATCTATTTGAAGTTTAAGCCAACTTTCTTATAGTCTTCTTGCAGTTTACGTTTACAGATGATAATATATGTTGTTATATCGTATATAACAGAGATCAACGATATTGATAATCCATTTAATGAACATGGCATGTGAATGGAGAATTGACAATGATCAGAACATTTCGGACATCGTCAGGAGATGCGGCGAATCGCGCATAGCAATCAGGAATTGAAGTAATCGTCGGACAGTACCGCGCAAGTCCGGCCAGGTCGGATATTACCGCGTGCGCGTAATCGGCAAAAGCAATAGGTGTTAAATATGTACCAGGCATGAGGTACTGCATGTTCATCGCCTCTTCGCGCATTCTTTCGCCCCTCAAGCAAATCGCCGCGGCGCTAAACAAGATCGCGCTGACCAACGACCAACCGACGCCGACCCAAGCGACCACGTACGACCAGTCGTACGAGATTAGCGAGTTGTCCTTCAGGACCTAGACAGTTTTGCCCCCGCGTGCCGTGCCGTGCCGTGCCGTGCCACGCCGGGCGTACATAACAAACAAAAAGAAGAGATACGGGGCGAGTTAGTTCGGCCGTTTCATGGTTATCGTGTCACCTGGCATGATGTATTGAACGTTCTGGGCCTGTTCGCGGGCACGCTCCCTTCTCAGGCAGGATGCCGCGATCAGGAATAGCGTCATTGTGCCCAGACACGTAGCTACCCCCAGCCAGGCGAGGTAAAACGACCAGTCGTACCACTGCGCCGTGTTGTCTCTTAAAACCTGCGGGCAAAATTCGATCAAAATCCGTTGCATACGGTTACGCCTGCCACTTCGGTCATGTGGAAATACTCGATGTGATCAGGTGCCTGGAAGAAGATCTCTTTATGATGCAAAACAAGCGAAATTTTTCTTTGTTGTTCTCCATTGCATTTATTACGGTTACTGTTGAAACAAAAATCTTCTTCGACTGTGTCATTTGGAAATTTTTGGTTCAGTATAGTATAAAAAAATGTGTTTGATAGTCTGCGATTTCATGTAAAAAATTAAGCGTGCTGCAAACTATTTAATATTAAATTTTTTTTTAGAATTTGAAAAAATCTTCACTTATTTTGCTTACAATTAGTAATGTCGTGTACTCCAAACATTGATCAGTTGCAGTTGACATTTAGACAACAATTTAGATGATTTAGGGAAATAAAGTAAAATCAAACTGAGGCCATTTAAGTATTATTATATCATGTAGATTTATAGTCTTCTATGTAGTTATGCGATTGATATAACAGTCAACGACAACTTTTCACGTTTTATAAAATATTTTCATTATACATGGTAATAGAGTTTCGGAAAAGTGAGTACTTACGTTGCTCCATTGCTGGTAATATTCCTCCCCGACGATTTTTTCTTTTTCATAATATTCGACGCCGTGCCAGAGGCCCATACCGCCAGCACTTAGTAAACCTGCATGAACAGATATATTACATATGTATAAAGAATTTTTTAAATTTTTATAAATACTCGCGAATTTACGATTCAATCTTTTCGAACGATCGTCGTTTATAAACATTATTCGCAAATTTTTATTCGAAATATCATCTTTTTCATTTCCAATAAGAAATTTTTATTTCCTTTACCTACTTTATAACTTTTGCAATATCCGAAATTATCCGTTCACAAACATCTAATTCGCGAAAAGCAAAATGAAAAAGAATGTCGGGTAGCTTTGAAAAAAAATCTCTCAGGAGATATACTGACAGGCGAATAACATCAAAATTGCGGTAGCCGTGATGTTTCCTGGTGATCTTCTCCAACAGCCCACTACTCCTGTCCAGAATGCCGAAAATATCGCGAGGAAGCCAACCATGAATAGAGCTATCACGGATCTCCCCATGTCTGTGACAATGATAAAATATTCAAACGTGTTATATCACATGTGCATGCATTGCGTCTTCTGTTTCTATATTGGTATACAACATTCATGATATTAAAAATTTATTATGAATATTTATACGAAGCTATATATATATATATATATATATATATTTTTTATTTTCCCAAGTCGTTTGCTATTATTCATGCCACGTCAGCGAACTTTCCATTCCCGCCGCATCGGATAGCAACGTGACCGAATTCTAAAGCGTCTAAACGATAATATCATTTATATCTGTAAGATATCACATTGTCTCTCACGTACATTAACTCTTGCGATGACGCATAGCCTTTTGGCATAGTATACATAACATAATATAAATATATGAAATATTTTAATAGATGTTCTATATTAAAATATATTATACTATATTAGAAATTTGATATTTTAATTCTTTTTACATCAAGATGAACTTAAAATTTTTTAAAAATTGTAATATATGCCAAATAGTTCACAAACATTAAGAAAAGATAAGTTATTATTTATAAATCTTTCTTATTTTAAACAGAATTGATAGTATCAATTAGATTATTAGATTATATTGCGTTGAGATAATGTCGAAAAAATTGGATGAAGAAAGAAAAAAAGATATAAATTTAATGTATATTCGATCTTAGAAAAATGACCGAATATATGTAAATTTTTTCTAGTAAAAAGCGTGACGCGCTGATTTCCCATTAATGCGATAAACTATGAAATTTGTTTGATCGCGCTATACTTACGTAATCGTGCCATTGCATCGTCAGAGAAGCCTCTCGTTTGATTTTCTTCATCGGGAATGAAATAATCAATATTCATGCAATGTGTCTCTACGGGACTCAGATAAGTCTCGACTGCAATCATAAAAAAAACACAATCGTGACAGAATATAAAAAATGTGATATAAATACACGTTACAAACAAATAAAATGGATTGCAAGCTATGAACAACTTTTTATTTTCGTGAAATTTTTTATTCTTCTATATAATAGCAAGAAAATTTTGTGCTTTTCATTTTTATTGTTTGCGAAAAATGTTATTGGTCCCTTTGATAAAGTTTTCCCTGAAACATTATTAGTTCACGAATTGCCTTTATCAATTATTAGAAGTAAGAAACGTTTTAAACAAGAGGTGCATATCCTAAGCCTTAATTGGCTAATCATCACCGACGTTCTCATTTCACCAACCGCACAAACACGCGAGTCAACGGCTGATTACATCATCTAGAATCGAGGCGCATTCTAAGCGAGATAAATGCGGAATCCTGGTGAACCGTGAATTAACATTTTAGTTTTTACACCTGCAAAGTTATGACAACGTAGTAACTTGTATCAGTCTGTTATTGGAAAAATTCATGACACAGCAAAGAAACTGCGTTAAGAGCGAAATATGACTTATTGTGATTCGTTACTGAATTACATAAGAATAATTAAAAAAATAAGTTGGAATGGGAGAATTCGACGTGTATAATATTGTTTTAATTAGTCTGAGAATTTGTAGTCATTCTAATTTTTTTTTTTTGTTATGTCAACTTCTTTCGTAAATATATACATTTCGGAGATGTTCTGAGGATATCTTAATGATCTCTAGATACGATTTCCTGTAGATATGTATATAATGAGCGGCCAGTGCTAATCATCGTATCCGTTTATTCTCCGGTTGCAAACGGAGGAGGGATCCTTGAAGACGCAATAGATATCCTCGGGGGATCATGTTCCGTAGGGAATTTACTACTGGGACTGGGATTTATCAGTGCTTCGTGATCCCACAGCCCCGGCCGCTTCAACAAGCGCGCGCCTCGAGAAGCATGCGACCCAGAATGCAGCGGGCACTATCGCCCGGGCGCGAAGTGTACGCTCTTACCTGTATACCCCGCCGAGGGGACTCGCTCTCGGTCTTTCGGCTCTTTTGCAACGGTACTCCCTCAGCGAATTCTAATCCACGAAACACCACTTTTAGCACTTTTAGTAAGAAAAAGTAGTTGTAAAGCAACCATGCTTTTGTAATCCCTTTCTGTACGTTGGCGAACGCACATTCCATCTGACAGGGACAATCGCAATGACAATTATCCGCCAATAAATATTTTCTCCTCCGTGAGCCTTTTGATCATTATTGCTAATGAGATTAAGAGAGAACATAGTCTTTTATAGACAGAACAAATTTTCGAGACTTTACTTGAGGATTCGAAATAAAAGTTTCGTAATTTTGGGCTAAATAGTACATTTTTTTTTGAACATTAATTGTATCTTTTTTTTCAACTTCAAATTCGTTTATCTCGTTTTTCTTCTTTGATAGTTGATTATCTGTTTTTGTTTTATCCTTTAATTGAGTGAAAGTCTTTCGTTGAGAAGAACTGCTGGAGGTAAACGGAACGACGTCTTCGACTAATTTGAGTTTTTTTTTTAATTATTATTATTTCACTCAAATTTTTCACACAATCAGTTAATAACGTTCCGCTATTTATTTTTGGGAAAAGTCCTGCGTTTTCAAAAATTTCCAGAATTATTAAACTTCAATACTCTCTTCTAATGAAAATTGTCTTCAAATTTCATGCCAATAATACACGTCTTTTTCCATCCAAGTTTTATACATATAATATGTTGGAGAACGATTTTATCAATTCGAAACGCAAAATTCCGTTACCATAGGACCGGAAGTGAGTTTTCTGGAGGAAGCCCTAACTTCATGGCCGACCTCCGTTACCGTAGGGAGACGTTACCGTTCGTATTTGAGATTCAGGCGACGGACGACGATACCGCGTGGCCGTTTCCTCGACCCTCTTCGAATCTAGTTTCGCCTAAACGAAACAAGGCGCCATGCCAAGATCGTTGACTCGCGCCTAACTGTACACGCGCTACACTCCTCGCCATTCCGGAAGAGGAGTCGGCGACGGTGGCGATGCCGAGCAACCGCGGTCGACAGACTCTCCTCGTACTTTTCATCGTGCATCGTGCATCGTCGCGTGATACGAGAGATACCGGCAGGTAGATTAAAGCCACCGGACCGGTCGTTGACTGGTTTCTTCGAATTTTTCACGTGTGCACTCGCGACCGTACGCTCTGACCTCGATTTTCGGCGCTGACCGACGTGACACCGGTCACCATGTACAAGAGCGTGATATAAAATCATCCAAATCCCATGTAATGAAATATCATCCAGTGGATATCGAGCGGACATGTCTTCCAGATTGAAAAGGATAGCTTAAAGTTTGAATTTTTTTAAATATACAGTTAGAATACAGAGGGAATATAGAATAATATTTCTATAAGATATATGGAATATGCTTGATGGTTGATCTATTATTCATTCATTAGATTTCAATATCAAATAAATAATCTCTTTAAGTAATTAAATTAATTGATACGAGAAGAGAAAATATTTCCTGAAAACATCATTAGAATATATTTTTAAAACGCATTTTATTGGGACAGTTTCTTTCGCGTCACTTCGTAAAATATCGTGAAAGATAAGGCTTCTTTCAAAGGTTGTTCATAAGTTGTTTTCAAAATTGATTTGAGAAATATACATATAACGTATACACTAAAAAAGTTAAAATACAATTTTATATCTACTCTGTTTAATGCGTGTTTTGTTTAACAAAAAAGGCATATCTGCTTTTCTCAAAATATTGGATATAATCATACGCATAAATTGCAATTTATTTTCAATCGAATTAATTCCTCACTCAATATTTATTTTAACTTTTGCGCGAGATTGACTATACGGATTTATTTCTCCTCGATGCAAAGGTCAAGCGCAATCACGCCGCCCTAATAAATCGAAGTCGCCGGAAGCGGGTCGCCGGAAGAAAACGGCATGCCGAAACCGATAAGGTATCGTCCCTGGCAAATACGTCGGTCGGCGAACGGTACCCGCGATATACGAGCGATGCATCGATCATTTCGATTGTTTTCCGGCCGAGCGATGAGAATAAACGCGGAGGAGTCTTTTACGTGCGCTCTCGCCCGGCGATTTCTTCGCTCTTCAGGCAGACCGCCGCGGATCGGCCGACCGATAGAATCAATTCTCACCGATCCGGCCTCGATACACTCGCCTTTCCTCTGGTCTCACGATACCTGCCGAACAGGTACGCGTACCGGCGCGGCGCGCGGCGTGGCGCGCGAGCGTATTTTCGTTCGCGAATCCGGTGAGAAAGCATTGTCTCCGCCGCGCCGCCGCTTTCAGCATCCGCTTCAACATCTTTGTCGGATCGCTCTCATCTTATCCCAATCGGATCGTTTAGCTTGATCGTTAATCCTGGTGTCCTTTGCTGGGACTATTAATCTGGAATCTGGGCTTAGTTCGACTCTCTCCAAGACAGACACTGGCGTTATGTGGGGTAATGAGGGACATTATGTCTCTCATGTTGTCCAACTAATGGAGACGAGGCGACTTGTCACTTTACCAGATTTACCGCTACGCCGTTGTGTAAGAAAGCAACCGATCGTTGCGGTCTTGACATCATGACCGTTGAGATTTTGGGACGGCAATTTCACCTACTGTTCGCAATTTTTAGCGGTAAAGTTTTGCGAACGTTAAAATATTCGCGTCATAAAAAGTTAATACTTTTTTACATTTTGCTTATCAATGACATACATTTCGTCGAATATTTTATCTTTGTACTATTTTAACATTTCCTAATTTTTATTTTAATATCCTAACTCTCTATTCGCTTGATAATAATATTATATCACTCACCACAATAAATCATCTCTATTAATCTACTCTGCTTGTATTCTTATTTATATTTTCGTTAGTAGTCTCGTAGAGTAGTCTTATTCAAGCGCGTCGGAGGACCTATAGTCTCAATCACTGCTTCATTCATTTTTAATCGATTCTATCTCGAGAAATCTCGTCCGTAACACGCGACATCGACACACTTTCCTCACGTTCACCTCGGAATTTTACCGAACGCTAACCACCGCTTCCTCCCTACGACGACTCGCTATTGTGCGAACAACAATGGATTTTATATGAGCTCCCTAATGTATGCACGGCCCGCATCCACACGGCTAGCCATGGGCACGTTTTCACTTTGTAGCGCGCGGCGGCGCGTTTTCCCTTCCCGTTCGAAGAATGCGCAACCTGAAACTTCCGGGAGAACTGGAATCACCTGTATCGCGCGTACCGGATTTGCGTACGAAAAGTATACTCGCAAGTCTATCTTTTTCTTCTATCTTTTTCTTTTCCCCGCTTGCTATTTCGAAAACATCAATCGTGCATGATTTCACTCGCGCTCGTGTCATTTTCGAAACTCTAATTCTAAATCTCAATTTCGCGAATAATCGCGTGCCTTATTAGACAGACGAGTTGTAATACGAAAAATTTCAAAAGCCAATTCTGGAATGTGTATGATTCTAAAAATAAAAATTACCTCAAACTACTTACATAACTTCTGGGACCGAAGTGCGAAATATTATTGCTTTGCATTCATGATATGATATACATGTTCTTTTTATTAGAGCGTGATATAAAATTAAGTCTTACGTTACATCTTCTACTTCTCGTTCTTCGCGTAACACGGGGCGCGTATGAGGCACGACGAATTGTTTATTTATGATATGATATTTGTTTCGCTCTTACCGAAACCGATCTGCTGTTACAACACAATCCGATTGTACACCACGCACGTCTCCGCGCGACGCTGACGTTTGCATAGTAATCTCCGATTATTACGTCGTGGTATGAACATTGCGTGATCATCGAGACACGTAAAAGTCGATTTCGCGACGTTGTATAACGTAAAAAAAAAAAAATATATATGATATTCATCGCGCGTATTGACATTGTTCCGATCCACTTTTAGGATTCTCGTGCACATGCGTTCCAGAGTATAATGCGATAGATTTTAAATCTGAAACGTCACTCACTATAATCATGCGAACTTTAAAGGGGATTCTTCCGATTTGTCGCGGTTCAATTGTCTTTCTTTCTTTAGAGATGAAATTTTAGAAGACAAAAGAATGATTGAATTATAATTAAATTTAATGATAATCGAGGGAACTGAACCTTAAAATCCTAAATCTAAACCAATTTGATTAGACAGCCTTTAATATCTTAATTTATACTTCGTGACCTAGATTTGTATCGGAATTCACTTAATCGGCACATATTTCCTGAATGAAACGATGAACGCCGAATCCATTATGTGAGATTATGACCATAATCGGGTTAATTGCGTTGATTACGGATTTAATTACATTGACTTTGCAATTTTTAATTATGTATCATTCGCGTTTGATTACATATGAATGCATTAACGTATCATTGCAGTTACGTATCTTATTCCTAATTGGTTTAATTGTCTACAAAGACATAAACATTGCCGAGTTTCTTTATTTACCCTAAAAATATGCGATACCTCGCTGTACATTATACGACATATATCATGCGTCATTACCGTAGAAAGTTTCTAATTGGAAAGGCGTTCCAATCCATAGAGCGTTATACACGATGCGAAATTACGCACGGGGAATAGGATTTTATCACATCCTTGTGGGTAACACGCGTGCTTTTATTCCGGGTTTAAATGTTGGATTTACGATGCTTAATCTTCTTTTTAAAAGCGACGTTATTCCATCATATTCTTTTTCCTTGTATTATAACTTTAAAATATTTAAACTTGTATCTATAATACTTATATACAAACTTTAGCTTTACTCTAAGAAAAAAAAAAAGATTTTTAAAAATATTACAAAAATAAATTTACATTTATATATCTGGCAAATTCTTTTGAGGAAACTTTGTTCTCTTTGTTCACAGTCAACCGAAGCACTGACGCGGCTGCTTGTGTTTCCAAGGCATTAACACGCGACCGATCGATCGGCACGTCGGCTGTTTCGCAACTGCGATCGCAACGGTCCACTTACGAGGTACGCTCTGAAAGAAAAAAAGACCACCAGAGTCCTCGAACTCCGGCAAGTCTTATCGTCCATTAAGTAATTTAAGACGAGGATTCTCGCGGTCGATACCGATGTAAAAACTTTGCGCAAGTCAATTCTGTTCGAAGACAGAATTCCGTATTTCCGTCATTACTTATAGGCATTTCGTTTGAAATGGTTAGGCCTGGAAAACCGCGGCGGTCGTTCACATGACATTTTTGTTATTTTCTTGTAATAACAGTTAGCGGATGTGCCCGATGCGTTGCTCCGAATCGACTCGTTACATTGATTTTATCGATGCATTCCTCTTCGTCGTGAATTCATTCGATAATATTGCGTACATATTTCGATACAAGTATAGGAATTCTTTAACTTCAAAGATAAACGAATACTTTAATATCCACTTTTTTTCCGAGGTAATTGCATCTCAATAAACAAGAAAGAAAGCGTTGGGACTTTATGATTCATTGCGTTGATATTTTTTAAATGAAAACATAACGCTCGACTATGAACACGGTGATGAATTCTGGGATGAGAAAGCGCCGCGATACATCGCGCCGGAGCGACTAACGGGTGAAAATGTACCTTTCTCCAAAGATTGTGCGCGTCTATGCGGCTGATTATAAATCTGTTAACCTATTACGTGGGATCGGATAACCTACGACATTACGAGATCGTAACGTAGAAAGTTTCCTAAAGGCCGCGTAAGGGATGTCGTTGAACGAGGAACTCGGGTGGATTTGTCGATCTTGGATTGCGAGTATATTATCGCGGATGTTGATTGAAGGCGGATAAGACGTCAGCCCAATTCTTTACAATGTGCACTATTATTTAACGTTATTATATTCGCTAATTATCACGAATTATAAATAATAATGTACATAATTATGTTATAAGTAATTTTGAAACTTTTCCGGCAACCACGAATATTAGACGACAAAAAGGAAAAAGAACTTGATTTTAATGGTAAATAGTACTTGACTTGAAAAAAAATTTTCGTCAAATCAAAAATAATATTTACCTGCAGACTAATTAAACTACAAATCATTTTTTAATATTTTCAGGATAACACGCCAAGTTTCTTATTACAATTTTTATTAAACATTCAGAAACTATGCAGATGTTTAATTAATTAAATGTTCAAAATTCTGCCTCTGGAAATTCTTACCTGTTGGTGGTCTCTCTTTGGGATAGCATATCCTAAATAGACCTTGAGTCCTCGTGTAATAATAGTATTTCTTGTTCATTTGCTCCACCAAATGGCTTTGCTCGGCATGCTTGCTCGCATATTGCTGTAACAATAGAAAAAAAATTCGTTAAGCATCAAATATTGAGTTTTAATATTCAACGAAAGTTGCAACGCGCATTATTAACTGTGATGAAGTGAAAGGGCAAGAACAAAGTCGCGAATAATTCTCCTTGACGGAGAGAGCTACCGGACGTGTGTTTTCGAATGCAGATGAAGTATATATGCACTCTTCCTTTCGCGAAAATGTTATTATCGTTAGAAAGTAAGAATACCGCGTTCTTGTGATAGAACATCTGTCAGAATCTCCCCCTCTCGCGTTTTTAGTGAAAGAGATCGCGAGCGGCTTTGCCTACTCAAGATTTATTCTAAATTCTAGTTTATTAGTTTACGTGAAACTATCTTAAAGACTTGATTATAAAAGTCCAGGAGGCTAAGAAAATTAGCGATTAAAAACGGATTGTTGATACGAGTACAAAGGATTGTGTAATTAAATCATAGCGCAAGTTTCACAGTCACATTATAAGGAATTGCCGATAAAATTACGAATAGAGAAAACGAACGCCCGTTTTATTTCATGTTGCATCGATGCATCGATATTCCGCGAAGAATCCGCCCATCATAATGGCCCATAAGAACTCATAGAGAGCGTTTACTCGTGCGTGTCGACAAGCAGAAGTTCCGCACTTTCTTACGCTCGAGGATGCGTACCTCGCGCACACCGTCCTCGAAATTTAATACAATTTTAGATCGTGCAGTAGGCGTGCGCCGATTTCGTCCCCATCGGCGGCAATCCCTCACCGTCGATAATCTCAGCGATCCGAGACTCGTCCTCGGCGAGCAGGCATCAATGCCGGCTTGTGGATCGTTACGATCTATTTTCTAGAAAGTTCGTCTTCGATTTCCCGATTCAACGTCTGGTAGAAAGTATAATGATACGCCGCGCTATATACGCGGGAAATCTTAACGCATGAATCGCGACCGTCGGCGACGAAAAGAAACATTTCCGCACGACGAAAATACGCGTGCTCGTTCCCTCTACGTACGTATGTACATACACGAGTCGCTTCCCACGAGGCATCTCGCTCGATCCGTTGTCCGCCGATTGCTGATAAAACGTACCGTCGCGCCGCCGGTTCGCGAAAGCGTTTCTTTCAACGCTCCACTCGTTTTCGTAAACAATATCAACAGCTCCACGTGATTCCCGCGCGCGCAATCATTTATCTACACAATTTGTATTTAACTTTATTTTGGAAGATTAGAGATTTAACATCTCTAGCTTTTCTGTTCTATTTAAAAATAACTATTTAATTAACTATTTAAAAATTGATGAAATGATCCGGATTATTTCCGAAATTCAACCTCAAATTGTTTGCATCGTTGAGCAAACGACACATTTCTTAACATAATTTATATAACAAAACGCTTATTTTTTATTAAAATATATTTGACAGAAGCTTTGCATTTATACTTTGATTCATATAGTAATGGGGGAAAGACTGAAAAGTAGCATACAGGTGGGAAACGTTAGCCGGAGCTTTATCGCCCCCAAAGCGATTGGTTTACGTGATGGACACGTGGCTTTGTACAGAAAGTAGAAACACGTTTGCATTGCGTCTGTCAACGACATCGCGATTGGTAATGTTTCTGAAATTCCACAGCCTACGTTTTTCCTCGATTACCAACCGATAATCGTACGAGCGTGACGTACACCGCTGATGCAAGCCTCGATTCAACCTTGACGAACACCCATGCGTTCCATGAACAATTCTCTCGAAAGAACGCGCAAGGTGAATGATGGACGTTCGCTAGAACGGTTTCACTGTACTGCCCTACGCAAATCAAGTAATATAATAAATATCGTGACAAATTAGATAATACAAAATTCTATTGCACTATTATCAAAACCATTAAAAACCATTGTCATAATTGACAAACATCGCTAGATATAAAGTTACGAAAGAGAGAAAGGAGACAGTCAAGCTTTATCGCTACTCGCGACCTCAGCAGTATTTTGACAACATTTTGAAGAAACGAGAAATATTAAGAAATATTTTTACTGTAACATGTACAGTTATTTAAAGAGAATGTGTTTCTCGCGCGAAAGTTTTTCTGCGAGCAACAGGTCTGAAACGCACAACACATGAATCCTCTCTCATGGTGGTACATATCGCTTACGCAGAGTTATCGTCACTGGTTGGCGAGAAAAGGAAGAAAGGAGGACTCCGATGAATCCCGGTCTCGTCTAGGCCACGCCATTCTGCTTTCACGTTGTTATTTCGCCATTGCTCGTCTTAAGCGCGGGAATACCGTCGAGCCCGGCTGATTTCTTTGACATAGAAAGGAAAACTCGCCGTGGAATATCACAATGAAGATAATTATATTATTAAATGAAGAGTCTCATCTCTCATGCATTCTTCGAGAAACATTTCCGAATCCTGTGACATTTTGTCGGCGACCGATTTCGCGAGATCCGTATATTTTCTACTTTTTTGTCATAAATTCTACTGCAACTGGCTCCGCAATGTCAACGGCGAGCATTTTGGATATAATTCGCCGTGACATTCCAATGCAACCTGGTTATATATTCGTATCGCGATTTCATTCGCGGAGGGAAGTGTGATAATTATTACAGCCAAGAATGATTATGCAAAATATTTGCGTGTGCTCGCGGAAATGGACAGAGGATAGCTTTCACTAAACCTGTACTTTCCGGCCTCGTTTCTAGTACCGAACAAATTGTTATCAACCCCGCTTATATTGCTCGGTGTACAACTGTGTAGTAAATTGTCGAGGTGTTATCGGTTCGGTTGCGGGTTTTGCGTTGAAAAGACTGAAGGAGGCCCGTTCACCTCGCACGCGAGATTTTTAGTTAACGAGAGCCGCGTTATGTTGCATTACGGCAACTTTCATTTGAATTTTTTCCTCTCTGCCGGCTAGCTCGTTGGCCGATCGTGTCGCGATCGTTTCTCCAATTCTGGCGCGACTTACGATTGCACAACTCCCCGCTAAATCTATGAATAATCTGCCATCGTGCATTGATTATTTGTAGGGATCGATCGTGAACAATACAGACTTGTGCAGGCACCGCTTCGATTTGAATGACAATTGACGTAATTTATCCTATTTCCGGAAACATCTAAGGATTTCTTGCATTAATCTGTCACGCCGGACGGCGAAACGATGCGATCGGATTGTTCAATTGGCAAATGCAATTTCCCATCCTAGCAACATCGAGCAGCTCCATGTAATCGAGAGAAATTTCTCGTTCATAAATTATTTTTCAAAATGTTGAGCAATAAATTCTTACACATTTTAATACTTATACCGGACATTTAGTAACAACATGCTCTTCCAAGTTATTCCAGTTATTTTATAATGTTTCATTTTTGTCACTCATTTATACAAATAATGAGAGACGATTCCAATAGATTTAGAATAGAATTAATAAATTTATTGTTAGTTTAAATTCTTTGCTTTAGCGCAACATTCAGATTTATCATATATTGAAAGTTTCAAAGATAAACAATTGAAGCATTTTAAAAAGACAATAAATTTAATAAAATTAGTACTTATATAAGGCAATGAAACTTGAACTTTCTTTCTATTTCTCATAATTTTGTATTTAGAAATGCAATGTTTATCAATTACGTCGACGATAATAAAATAAAATTTTGTTTTGCTAGAATATCGTATCAAAACATGAAAATATCTTTTTTATCTAGATTTAATGCAACTTTTGCACAACTTGTCTCTACTGAATACGATCAATATGACTTATTGGCTGAAACGTTTCTGCTTTCTACATCTATCTTCTTATATAAACTCGCGTAATGTGTCGCTATCCGATCATGATAAAAATCGAACACTTTTCTTAGGTATCGAAAGAAAATATTTTGCTTGAAATAAACTGGTTAAATTAATTATGTCGCGTACTGCGAAACGTTGTGCAATCGAGAAGCGAAATTCATTGAGTCGCGGACATTGCATTTTGGCATGAGACGAAAGACGCAGTGAGGTTCACCGGGGCATCGAACAGGACAGGAAGGATACTCGTGCAATACTCGAGTTTCTCCGGATCGTTTCGCACACGTAGCCACGTTACGCCATTCAACGTCTTTAAAAAGCGCCGCAAATTGCCAGTCGCGGCCTTGAAGAATCCTCCTTGTCGCGATTTGACGACGATCCCCTTAACTTATCGACAGATTACGATCGCGTTTCTTTGTTAAGAAACAAATGATACGTTTGCGAAATAACTGTCTCCGACGTGATATTTCGTTAGTATTCATAACTTTTTCACCCAACATTTATAACCGCGCTGCAGCATTTACGTAAGTTTACGTTTAAATGTTTAAATGTCCGAACTATCGAAACGTATTCGCCCGCTTCTTTCGAGCGCGAACCGCATTCACAAATATTACTTATCCTGTTTCTCCGCTTGTCTCGATATCGAACAAGAATATCCAAGTGAATTCAGGTGCGCGCATTCCTTTCCTCGCGCGCCCAGCTCGGGGCCACGTCACCGCGGTTCTCGAATGAAAGTACAGTGACTATATACTTGATGAATATAATGCCGCGTAACGCGCTACCGTGCACATGCAGGATAAGTGCTAAACGGACACCTTTTGTGCCGGCGAATAAACAGGGATACGCGAACGATGTAATCAGCAACGCAACCGAGCCATCCTGGCCGGCAGGATAATGCACGCATCGCGTAAACACGCGCGAGAATTCATTACGAATAATTCATTATTAAAGCGGGAGCGGCAAGGTGAAAATTACTGCATAGCCATAGCATCGCGGTAGCATCGGATTTGTACAAAGTTGAGGAAAATAAAATATCCTTCGTAAATGTAAAATTAAAAAAATATATATTCAATCTCTCAAGTTCGCTTTTTTCCTTGAACGTAATAATGCAACATGAAACCAGTTTTTTTCCTATCTTAGTCTATAGTTAAAAATAATATGCCAATTAAAATTCTCGAATGGTTCTATCAATCAGTGACCTTTACTCTAAATAGTCTCCTTGTCTTTTTTGTTCTTGCTTTCAAATATCAAAAAGAAATGTCAAGAAATCGGGAAGTAATTCACTTTCTTCACAGCATTCTTGATATACATAAGCGATATCTGGATATGCAGGAAATCTTCTGTTGCACAATTCAACGCGGACAGGATGTGCGAAACCGTTAAGGCGGTTACAAGTCATTATTCATCTCAAGATTGCCCTTCGGAAAATCGTCATCTTTATGTCTCCTCTGCAGATTTAAGGATCACCGGTTGTCGTCGCGGCTCGTCCTCGTCGACGCGGTATTGGTTTAATGTCGGGAATTTACGCGCGTGCAGATCTTCCCGTTAATCGACTACAGCTACCTCGCGTGCTGACGCCGAGGTCGCATCCCGGCAGCCTCGCGGGGGACGCGGGGGCCGCGGAATTATCACCTCGCGTGCGTGCCACTCGCGAGGAGGCATCCAAACGTGCGTTCGTTCGCGCCTACTCTCGGCCGGGATGCATCGCGCGCTGGCATGGCGCGGGCGCGGGCGACATAACTGTACGCGGCGATTCTCCCGACGCCTTCTCGCCACCCGAGCGAAGAGGCGAGGTAGCCAACCGGCCGGTCGTCCAGGTCCGGGAATCGCGCGGTTTCCTGACGCGCAAAAGAAAATAACAGAGCGTCACGCTGCGCCGCGCCGCGTCGAGCCGCGTCGAGTCGCGTCGCATTGCGGCGCGAGATCCTCTCGGATACTGCGCATCCATCTTCGTCGAGAAGTGGATTAGTGGGTGATCTACCGGCCGGTGATCTCGTATGAAATGATCGGTCCACGGAAGAATCGATGCGTAAATTTTGAATTGAAAACTCGAATGAGAAAGCGAGAGAGCCGAAAGTCTAACGGAATTGCTGACAATGAAAAGAAACTACACAGGTATACAAGTCCCGAAATTCCATATGAGATTTAAATGGAAGAGATTGTCAAATAAACTCAACGATGAACAGAATTTTGACATAATACTGGAAAACTATTTCAATATCTATTACGGGCCGAAGCCACGTATATAATATTCAAAATCAAAGTAAATTAACAACTGTCGCTTACTTTATTCTAAATGTACACGAGATCCGCCGAAAGAGCAGATCCGCATAGATGAACAGTCACAAGGTGTATTTACCACGAGAGACGACATAAAATCAACTATTTTCGAATCGAGAGAGACCTTCATTTCGATTTTTAGAGGTGAAGCATTTTGTAGAATAATGACCAATAACGCGGAGTATTCTATAGGACGTAAAATACTGATTGGCGTGATTCTTTTTCGTGAAGAAGGAAAACGCATCCAGAATTTATGGTTTATTTAGGCTAGGTAGGTTTATTAGAATATGATAGGTTTACTAGGGTATAATCCCATGCAAAATTGTTTAGAAACTTAAGAGAAATTATTTTCAAAATAAATAGATGACGTGTTGCGTTGCGGCACGTAACATATCGCGCAGCTTTCGGATCTGACAATGAGATGTGATCGTTTGAGATGAAACGAAAATCAGACCTCGCAAAAATGAAATACGAACTGATTCTTGACGCGCGTGCGACTGTTCATCTATGCGGATCTGCTCTTTCGGCGGATTTCGTGTACATGCCGGGATCAACGGAAGCTCATCTCTCGTCTTTCGATTCTCGCGCAAAAGGACATACGCGATCGGTACACCGAACAAAACTCGTTGAGTCAACGCGCTTGAGAATGGGCGCGGCTCGGAATGTCGATCGTTCCGAAGGCATGGGATGTCGGGAGATCGAGACAGGATCACGAGAGAAGAGGAGAAGAGAGGAGAAGAGAGCCGCGCGCCGCGCCGGTCGGCCAAGAGAAAGAGAAAAGCGCAAAGAGGAACGGGATACTCGCAAAATGAGATTCTGCTAACGACAAGATAATTCGATTTAATCGGCGGCAGGCTTCAGCTGCTTAGAATAACGATCCCGGTACTAACATCAAATACGAGAGACGCATAAATGATAAGTTTCTTCGCGATAAATAAAAAATATCATTCAGGATGTTCCATCTCTGTGAGGACGATCGCGCGGAGGGCTCTGACGAATTCGTTGTATAGTGATCGTGTATTGAATGGTTACGTACGGCGGCATAATAATACATGCAGGATGACGCGTGGAACGTCCGCGCGCGTCTATTATTTAATAATTCCTATTCTTACGTACATCCATAGATATGATTTTTGCGTTGCGCAGGAAGTTACATCAACGTCGGAATATTTCGTATGCGCCGAGCTGTACATGCGTTTTGCGTCAAGCCGTGGCGTAACTCGCGACGCCAACGGATCAATTTATCATGCGAGGTGTCCTATTAAAAAGCTTCTCAAGCCAGAATTAAAAATTGCGACGTTGTAAAAGAGAATACTCCAAAAAAGATCTAAATCAGTTGATTGTCCGAGAAAAACGCGAACGTTTAAAAACCTGTTGTTTCAAAAAAATCTATTGCCACAAAAGAAAATTGCTTGAATATACGAAAAAGGGGTGCGATATCTTATATTTACTTAAAAAAAAACAAAAACAAATGTAATGTTAATTGTACAAATTATAGGACGTAGCAATATTGCCGCGTTAAAGATTTGTTATGATCAAGTTAACTTAAGTTTCTTGTCAACTAGAATCAACGAAGAATCAACTAAAGCATTCCTTGCTAGGTATTCCTTAAGGAATACCTAGCTGACATCTTCTCGATTCCACAAAGAACTCGTGAGAACAACGTCCAACTTTCAATGACTCTAGAGGGTAAACTTGACCTTCGACCCGTACATTCACCCGCAAGAAGGACGGCGGAAGTCACAGGGAATTCTACTTCCTATCTTCCCCTTCTTCGAAGAAAGATGCATTTCTCTTGGAACCTCTAATCGAGATTGCGCAATCTACTCGCTAATTAATGCTACTTTTCACTAGCTTCGCTAATTAATTGTATAATTTGTAGTGATCCTGTTTTTAATTATTTGATTATAGTATATTTCAATTAAGAAAAATGCATCGTGTAGTTTTTATATTCCTCCTTCGCTGCGTTACGAATTACGAACGTTTCGCAAAAGCGAAAAAAAAAGACATTACGGACATTAAGACAGAAATCGCGTGATTTATCTACTCGTTGTCGAAATCTTCTCTCGCGCGGCATGAGAATTCGATAGGACCGCTGTATCTTCACAGTTCTTTGTTTTCAAAAATTATTCCGAGATAAAAACTTGCCGTTTTCTTTTGTTGAGTGCATACATCTATCTGCCTTCAACATTAAATTATTTTCGTAATGTATTCTTCACCCATTAGACAAGCATGAAAATTTCCTTACAATGATTTTATTCCCTTCTACTACTTAGAAACACAAAAGCACTGCATTGTAAAACTGAATGAATGACGCTATGTGAATTCTTTAATATAAAATGATGAATTAATTTAAGTAACAGTCGAGTCTTTAAGTAAGTGATTTTTAAGTAATTGCGTATTTTGATGTGGGTATATTTATTTTAAACATCATTTATAGTTTAAACGGATTGCGGTTACTCAAAAGTACGATATAATACATAATCATAGAAATTACTATAATGAGTCGTTGACTCGTTATATATCAGTAAATACCTGTTGTGTGATCAGAAATGGGATTATAACGATGTCGGAAATTGTACGCATTATATGCGACGATACAATTACGTGTCACTACGCAAACGTAAAAACTAAGAAATTGTCGTTATCAATGAAAATAAGGGGACCGGACTGGAGAAAGCTCTGCAAGGACCACAGCTGCGCCGCTGGTCGAGCTGTTCTTTGCAGCGTACCTCGTATCTTTAAGGATGCGAAGGAAGTAGAAGAAATTAGATTCACGAGCATGGGCGGCTGATGACAGCTTCGGCCGCCATCAGGAGTAACGAGATCCGGATGCGATTCAACTTCGGGCAGGAAGATGTCCATTTTCATAAATGATCGAAGCCGAGCTTCATTCAGCACGGGCAACGTGTCCGCGTGCGCGGCGGCAGTTTCATTAGAATTTGCATAAGGACTCTCTATACCGAGAACACAGAGTGGAGAGGAGAGCGCATCCGCGCGGCCAAATCGAATTAGCTTCAACAACGACGCTGATGACGCTTCGCAACGCCACGACGGGGTAGTGCAACGCGTCGCGAAAATCCATTATCAGATCCCACGCTTTCGCAATCCACTTTGATTTTTTTTTCTCAATGCCTCAGATCGCATAGATTAGTGGCATGCAGAAGGCAAGATACGAGTCCTTGCAAACGGGCGAACAATTTCTATTGTGACGCGTTCTCATAAGAGATGTTTCAAAGCGCACGTACGTGCAGAATATCTCGTGACGGAAGCCATGCGTTTTATCTATTAGTTGTCGAAATTTCCTTTCAGCGCGAGAATTCAATAGGATGCCGTATCTCTACAGCTATTTCCGTGCAAAATTAAGTTCATTGCCTACAATGAAACTTAAGATTTAAGAAAATTGACCATAATCGATTATTCATCTCACGTGAGAAGAATAATCGATTGTGATTGGTCAGGTTTTTAAAATCTCAAATCTTAAGTCTCATTGTAGACGCCGCTTTATCTCAAGATAAAAACTTGCCTCTTTCTTTCCTTGAATGCGTAGACTTATCTACTGTCAAACGCAGGACAGGTGGAGAAAGATGCGATTGAAAAGAACGAAACCTTTTTATTTGAAATTCTAACACAGACGAAAATTTGTATAACTTTGAGTAGTTTTTTGAGGAATGCTTTAGAAAAATTAATTACGGTTAACATCCTGCTCGATGCATTTTAAATTTGGAATGCAGAAATACGTAATCGTCTAAAAAAAAGTGCAGTGAACGCTTCTTGAAAGAAACGAAAGAATTTGCTTTGAAATAAAAATATTAGTAGCAACGCATCTTATGCAGTGCATCCAAGTTTATAATACATATATTATTGAACTTATTATATGTGAAGTTTATCGAAATTGCCAATTAAATTGATTGTACTTTTATCAAAGCATATGTTATAATTACGTACGTGTATCCTTTTTTATTCGGATATTTCTTTATTTCATAAAGTGTTACAGCTTCCGTTTAAAGGCCATGTGTACATAAGTTGAAATAAATCGGCGTTTAATTATTTTTGCATCCAAAAATTATGTCTGTTTTTATTAATATAAATTAATTTACTTTTTATTTTTTCTAGTTCTAAGAAAATTACAGAACAAATCGAATTTGATTTAGCTAATATTTACGAAAATATAATGTCAGCGCGAAAATACACTCGAATTTCGAATGTTCCGTCATTTAACATCTCCTTTTTCAAATATTCTTTTCTACAAATAAAGAAATAAAGTGATCGCGTTCTTTCACCTTTGAGAGAGATTTACTTCTTGTATCTCTCTCGTCGCAAGGTATCGAGCACGATCTTGGCAAGCAAGATCGAAGGACGCTCCACTTGATATAAGAATCGAATACAAACCTGGATCTGGGCACGCTTGACCTCGGTGTAGAGCCAGTTGTCCGTGGAGAAGGCGATCGCCAGGAGGGCAGTGGCGATTATACCGGTTATGGTGGCAAGAGACAGCGTCACTGCGGAGCACGGCATCTTGGTATTTTATCTCCGATATCTCTTTTCTCGCTCTCTCTTTTCCTCTTCTTCGTCGAGTATCCTCGGTCTCTCTTTTTCTCCTGTCTCTTCCGTTAGCTTCACCTCGCACTCACCGCGATTACGTGGTGGTTATTACTACCGACTGTACGTGGGCATCGGGCGCGCACGAGGAAGAAGAGGAGGCTGCCACGAAGCACGCCGCGAAAAGGAGAGCTGGACCACGCTTCGGCAGATTTTGGAGAACGCGGACGCGCGGCTCTCTCGATCCCCGCAAGGAGCACCGGGGGATGAAAACGGGGTCGGGGGAGCCGAAAGGGCCTTTGTAATATCCACGTACTTCGCCGTTCTTCAGGATGCGCGTTTCACCACGATGCACATCACACCACCATTCCAATCGCAACGGCAACGATACTAACGGCTCGACTCCCGGCTCACCTCGAAGGAAAGCCAGCCTGAGAGCCGGCCGAGAGAGCAAGGAGAGAGAACCGGACCTCAGGTGGGGATGGACTCGTAGCCTCGGGCAGGTATATTACCTGTGTTTTACCTGCAGCGGTGCTCAACGCGCGCAACCTGTTGCCGTTGCACCTGGCACCAGGGACGACGCGACGCGGGAGGCAAGGACCGTCGAGTCTTGGCACAGGAATTCCGAGGATATCGTCGCGGCGATGTACCACTCTGCAACGTTGCCGCGCGGAGATACATATATAATTAATTGTCTAGCGCGTTTAAAACAAACATGATCGCAACATATTTTAATCTCGAATCTGAAGATGATCGCTTTCTTTGCGGTGGAGAACGTAACGCTCAATACGAAATAGATTTCTACATGAGATCGAATTCTCCAGGATTATATTGTCTCGAAGTTTATTGTTACTTCACTCTGGCCGTTAAAGATCCGATCGAGTTATTAGCTTCACTTGGATTTTCGTATAGGATTTCTTATGAAGTTGATATATTCCTATCCGAGGTCACAGTTTCGATAACAATATAGCTATCAGAGTAACACGGTTTCATCGATATACGAAGAGATATCTTTACATGCCAATTACCTGGTCGTCGTTACATTCATGAAAATTTGTTTGAAATCGGGCGAGATAAAAACTATTAAGGAAAGTCACGTTCGACGAAATGAGAACAGTTTCTTCGAGGCTGTGTACCTGTACGAACCGCTCCTGCCTCGTCTCTGTGGCGAACCCACGGAGAAATCCCACCACTATTGTGATATAAAGTCGGCATAAACGCCCAGGGAAAAGCGTAGGATTCCGCGCATTCTGTGAACTCGTGATTTCACAGGGTGTCGCAGCCGAGATCCAGATCATCAGCTCTTTGCTTTCGTAGACGCTATTTACTTCTTAAAAGGAAATGTACAGATTCGCGATCGTCATGCAGGAAAATACGATCGCAAAGTTTCATCGTAGAGAAAAATAAAAATTTTATTCGCCACCCGTAATTGACGAATTCTAAATCTCGGATTCAAAATACTTTTGCATTTTCCACGTGTAAATTCGAAACTCGATCTATAGAAATTCTATAGATATTTTGAAAAGCTTGCAATTCAATTTTTGGAAAATAAAATTACTAATTGTTAGTTAATCCTAAATTATTATTCTTAATTTTTGTCATTATTGAGTTTGGCAGAGGAAAAAATTAAAATAAAAAAAATTTTTTTTTTATCGAATCCCAAAGCCTGCAAACTTGATAAGTATTATTTTGAAATTATTATAATAAATAGAAAAAAAATATGAAAGCTTAAAATAAAAAAGGTGAATTTTTACATAATTTTAAGTCTGAAATTAAGATTGTAATCGAGTTTTCCATAGTATTAGTATAGATTCAATAGTAATGATATAAAATTAATTAGATAAAATCATCAATAGATTTCAGTTTGTATCAGTCTTTATCATTGTATGCTTAATTAGCAAATAACTAAATGGAAATTTATGATCTATAATCTTTTGAGAATTTTTTATTAATTGTATTGCACTTTTGAATTGAAGCTCTTTTTTTTCAAAAAGCAATATCCAAGTATAAAAATGTATATCTATTTTGTATTATTTTATTTAAAAATATTTTGTTTTTTTCAAAATTTTCATAATATTAAATATATATATATATATAAGATAAAATTCCAGAATATTAAAATAGAAAGATGTTGAGAAAATATGTCTATAAAATTGCTGCATATATATATATATATATATATATATATATATATATAATCTTTATAAAATTGTAACTATAAATATTTTAATATAAATATTATTTAATATAAACATAATCTGATTTTGACACATATAAACATAATTTCAGAAAATAGATTAATTATACTTAAAAATGGAAGGATCATAAGATGTACCCTGGAAAGGCGATCCTTTCGCGTTCCACGCCTGCTTCAAAGTGGCCTCCATCTTCTGCAAATGCAATATATATTATTTACAAATTGAAATAAATGTCGCGCTATACATAATGACAACATATAAATAATTACAATTTGCTCAGATGTCGGTTTGCCTAAGATCTTTTGTTGGTGATTCCACATCAATTCCTGCACTTTCATTTGTTCGTCTGGCGCCATATCGTCGAAATGTTTCGAACAATCGATTTTGTTTAAGTCAATTTTCGGTTCATCAGTTATCAAGGCTTCCCACCATCTTTCCGTAGTCTTTTCAAGATGAATCTATAAGCGCAAATAAAATAAATAGTTACCAAATACATTTGATGACGTTCCGAAAAAGATGTAAATATGTTTTATATGAATAAACGTACATTAATTTGTTTCTCATCTTCAATGCTCCACATCGATTCATCTCTTCGAATTTTAAAATTAAGCTTGCCGTTGAAAATGTTTTCCCACTCGGAATCTGCCGTCGAAGCAGAAGGTTTTCCATCAATTTTGATCTCGTTCGAGCTTATGTCGACTTTGAGTGTATCTTTAGACGCCTTTATACGCTCTGGTATTTTTACAAGTACATCCAAATCATTGAGAGTCTGCGTCCAAACGTAACTTTCTCTTACTGCTCCATTGTAACTGTCTGATATATGATTTGTCTTATATGATTGCGTGGATGATGAATTAATATTGCTGGATTTGTTGCACGAATCAATTTCAATTTCTTGCGCCACCGGGGGACTGCTATTCTCGTTTTGCATCAAAACTAATTGGTTTAACACACTGCTGCTGTTTGTATCATCATTTACAGACAATGTTGTCTTTTGTAAAGAAGCTGCAGTGTTCTTCCACTTGTACATGGCATTTAATACAAGTTTCTCTGCTATTCCCGGTGGGAAGCCCAATTTTTGCTCCGAGTTCGCTTCGACATAGAAGTCTGTGCTGATATTGGAAAAAAAAATTACTATTTAAACTTGAAATTTTATTTGAAGCATTGATACCTTCGATACTCACCATCTATTTAAAAATCCAAAAAAAGCATCCAAAAAATTACTGATGTTTTTTTCTTCACTAAGTATGTGCAAAAACGTTTCATCATGATTAGATCCCATGATTAAATAAAGATCTCTACAAAGTCCTACAGACACTTAACGTAGTCCAATTATCGAATATATGAAAAGAGCAAACAGTTTGATTATTCGCTCAAGAAGAAAGTTCAATTATCTCGAGCACATTCGTGTGTTTCTGGAACCGGTCCGAATTTCTAAAAATGTTTACGATAACCTATAATACACCGACAATTCATTGTACGCTGAAGCAATGAAGTAACCGATGTGTAGGTTACTTGATAAAAATCTAGTATATTTCTCCTGAATTCGATTGTTACATACGACCTGTATCGCAAAATCTAAATGCGATAAATTATCGTCTGCTTGTTTATTTTTGAAAATATTTCAAGAATGTCAAAGTGTCGCTTGTTCCTTGTCTCGAGTGGTTGCTGTACTGCACTTTCTGCACTAAAAAATGAGATGGGTATGTAATAGACATATGTTGGTGAAAAGAGGAGAGAAAACATAAAGTGCAAAAATTTCAACTACAAAGAACAGACCTGAAGGCCATATTAGAGACTACTCTGTCAACGAGATGGCGTACTTTGCGCCTGCCATCAGTGCCATCTGGAATTTCTGGAAATGCCTCCACACTTCATAGTTCATCACATTTCACACTGCTCCACATTCTTGGAAATGTGTCAATGCGACCTGCGGCTGTCATTTATAGATAAACGTAAACAAATCGAAGTACCGCAGTGTATCGATAGTATCATAAAAAGAAATAATTATCAACTGTTACTAAGTGAAATCAAATTATAACGTGTAATAATCTGGAAAAAGAACAACATTTATACCTCTTTTCCTGGATATTCTTTGAAAAATTTTTACATATAGAATATTTGTCATTTTAACAAGTATTAAATATAGTGCAATATCTTGGTTTATCACACGTAATTAGCGATTTAATTAGAAACAATAACATCATTGAGAAAAAACGACCTTTGGTTATATATCGTTAGTTACACAATGGCAAGCGTTCCTGGTTTCACATTGGAAACTGCGAAAGGTATCCAGAAATCTAAAATAAAAGAGAACTTTTTATAGAAAGTTATATATCATTACAACGTGTTTATGATACGAGTTTGTTTACAATTTAAATATAAATAAGTATTTACATATATTAAATATATTAAATATATAATTATATTAAACTATAATTTTATACTTAGTATTATAAATGTATAATTGTATAAATACTAAATATACAATAAAATATATGAATAAATATTTTTTTCCTTTCAGCTATATTGACAGAAGTTTTGACAGCACTGAGTACACCTGAGAACTTGCAAAAGCTCGCAGAGGCAAAGGAAAGTTCCGGCAATGAGATGTTAAAAATGATGCAATTTGTATTCCCACTAGTTACACAGATCCAAATGGATGTTATAAAAAATTATGGATTTCCAGAAGGAAGAGAAGGTGCGTAGATTAAATGTACAATAAAAATAGAGTGATAAGAGTATTATAGAAAAATATAGAAAAATTAATTGATATATGTACATAAAACACACAGGTACTGTACAATTTGCACAGCTCATTAGGGCTTTAGAGAGAGAAGATGCCGAAATAGCACAGCTACATAGTCAGGTCCGTTCATATTTTCTTCCACCAGTTACGATAAACTCTTCGACTGAAGCATCTCTTTAAAGTTTATCATTTTTATCTGAAGATTGTATTAAGTAAGATAAAAATGTATGCAAGCGAAAAAAGTTATCATGCATCTGTATGTAAAAAATAATGCATTTTATATAGCATTTTTTCGTTATACTTTTTTAATGTTTTGATAAACAAAGTACGAGAATTCTGATTGTTACTTGTTTAAAACTATATATGTCTAAAATCTACATATTCTAATAGGAATATTTATGATAAATATCTGTTTTTATTGAAATATTAATAAAAATATTGCAACGTTCTTTTTCTTTTCTTTTATAGAATAATTTAACTATTAAATGTGCAGATTTCAGCTAGTGCAATCAAATCTGTATGTATAAATCTTCTGGAGAAAAGTACCAAAGGAATTTTAAATGTTTGATTTGAGAAAACTTAAAAATTTTTATATTTATTTGTATAATTATTAATAAGTATATCATTATAATCTACTAAAATATATAATATTTATTTATATAAATGTTTTTTAAATTCTTTTTCCTGCAATATTACATCAGTTCTAAAAGCTAAACAAAAAATATTCCACTGTTCGCACAGGGATGAAGCTGTGTATACATCATGATTTTTAAATATTAATTACTTAAATAAAACAGGTAAAAAAAATGCAGATCTACAGAAACGAAAACCAAAGCATACAGGATGGTGTGGTACCTCATCCTATACTCAATAGGCACAATGGCTAGTGTAATCGTTTATATTTTCAAATCGTTAAAGACAATGATTGTATTATAATTAAATCTCTACACGTTATTATACGTATCATACATTTTAACTTCATGTCCTGGCGAACATCTGGATAAATACATATTAAATATACAATTTCACTCATATAAGCAAATATGTTAAAATTGCATAAAGCCAACAAAAATTATAGATTTAACGATAAATAATACATTGGAATTATTTGACGTTTACTTAGATCAGTACTTGAATCGTGCAACTTCTGATTTACTTGGATGACGGACAAGCAAATATAGTTCCCCTTGTCAATGTTGTATACTGATAAAGTTCTCTATGTAAAACTGTAAAATGCGTCGGTATTTTGAAGAAAAATATGCTGAGATCATGCAAGATTTCAATAACATTAAAACAATTTTTTTATTTGAAATCTATATCAATATTATTTATAAGCGGACATGTATTGTAAAATAAATAATATCATATATAACATCAAAGCACTATCAATGATACAAGCAATAGCAAATCTAATGAAAAAAAAGTGAAAAAAATAACTCAGCAAATTTTTCTACAGTCGTAAAACATGAGATTGATGAGTACAACTTTTAAATATGCACTAAAAAAAAACTTTTTGTCCATTAATAATATTGCGAACAAACGGGGAACGATATCCTTTAATATATGTACATTTTATATATATATATATAAATGAAAATACGTGCCTGCATTTGTTTCGTATGTTAAAAGAAATCTGATTCGCGCGTGTTCTTGTCATGCGAATTTATAAAATATGGGTAGGCAAAAATCTCTCTTGTAGATTTGTTATAAATTTATCCTACGAGCGATCGAGCTCTTACGTAACTTTGGACGTTGACGTAAATATTAAATTGAAAGTGGATTAGAAATAACGCACTGTTATTTCGATATTTAAATATCGATGATTCTCGAATACGATAGAGACAATTCTTTTCGCTCTTGAGTTTGATTCTTCAGCTATGCCAGATCTGCATTAAAACGTGCTCACGGTTGATTGAAGCCGGGTATATCCGGTTAGCGAAAACAACATGGATTGTTTCCTTAATGTTCGTATCGTTTAGCGTGGATGCTACTTTCACAGTTGCTTTTTCGTTTAGAAGTGCCTTGGTGTGCCATAGGTCGCAGTATCGTCATTCGTGAATGACCGGCTATACAGCTATGTAAGAAATTCGTGTATACACTTTGCAACACAGTAGCTGTTCGTATTACAGATTCTGTATTAGAAAGCAAGCCACAACATCGAATTTTTTTTACAGACCATAATCGACACATCTTAAGCGTACAACGGCGAACGGAACTCTGTTTATTACAATAATGCTTTGCAAATCATGATTACAGTCTCACAATCTCGTTTTTCCCCCTTTTTTTTACTATATAGAAAACGCGTGTATATAAAAACGCATAAACTTATCTCAATGCCAACGTTACCTTACGTCTCTTCCCCAGCAGTGAAGCAATATCGCTGAGCAATCTTTCCCTGAATTGATATTCATACATAGAAAATAGATCGTAGAGAAAGAAGTGTATATAAAATCTATAGTCGTATCTTGGCATTAAGCGTTCAAAGTTAAAACATGATTTGTATTATTATGTTGTACCTTTCAATTCATCACTAAATTACAAATATGCCACACTTCTACCAGTTAATTATTTAGGTGATTATTCCACAATAAACTTTAAAAAGCGAGTAATACATGCAAAGGAAAATTTAAAAAAAAAAAAAAAGAAAAAAAAGAGACTTGTATAATGAGCATAAGTGCGCTGTAATATAATTCATCGAAAAGTAATGTTTTAAACTATCAATAAAATTCCATTGATGGAGATATTTCCTCCGCCCTCTTATTGGTCTTATTTACGTCTGTCCCTGCCCATAATTGCTATAAGTAAAATCATCATTTTTTAACCGTTAACCGAAATACCGTAATATTACATGTAAAACTGCGGATCACGTTTCGCGGGGCGCAGTAATTGCGAAGTTTTCGATTGATCGATCAGGCTACGAGAGGAACGGATTAGCCGTAGTAGTTGTATTCGCTGTCCATGGATCCTGTCGAATCTGATTGATTGTAGGACGGGGTGGTGGCGTCACAGTTGCAAATGGATTTGCTGAATATGACATGGTTGCTGTAAAATCATTCACATATGTTCGTTTGTTAGTACAAAATAACTCTTATTTCTCATAGAGACAGCTCAATCATTTAAACGCCTTTAAATATCGAAAACATATCAATATCTTGAATAAAAACAAAAAGAAATGTTATTTTGTGTCTTAAGTAAAAAGAAATGATTATTTCCTATCTTAAAATTGCCGTGTTACCTGCGTTGAAGCCTCTTTTCCCCAATGTTTAAAAATTCATATCTTCCAAAAAAATAAAGATATAGACTTCTTTCTGGGCTTATCTTAAAGATGAATTATGTGACTAT